TTATTGTTAAATTAAACAAAATTTATCACCGGGTCTGTTGTTATTTATTTTATTTTATTATATCAATTATTTAATTATTTTTTGTAAATATTTTATTAACATTTTATTTCAAGTAATAAGTAATTTCTCATAGTAAAGTAGTTGAAAAAAAAATAATTTAGAGGGAATCCAAGTTTTTAGTAAATATTTGGCTCCAACTCAATTATTTTATATGAAAATTTTGAAAAAGATAAATTTATTAAAAATAATTAGTTCTTTGTAAAGAAGAAAAAATAGCTTGAGATGTTAGGGTCAAGTTTAGCTATATAGCCTCTATTATAAAGTTAATAAGTAATATTTATATACCATTGTTGACTTAGGATATATACCAGAAACTCTGAGATAAAAAATTCTTACGTATTTTTGCACTTTATTTTATTTCTTTTTCTTAATGATCAACGTTAACCAACACAAGCAAATTTAACAAGATAGGGAATATGCTCTCACCAAAAAAAAAAAAAATACTCATGTACAATCGTTTGACATAAAAATACTGATAGCTAAACCCTTATAGTTTGGGTTGGGTTGGAATTTCTTGCCTATATTAAAATTGGTTGTGCCCAACCCAACTCAATTCCCTCTCCCAACCCATGTGAGATGTGTTGGCCCATATTTTCACCTCTAGTTTGAGCATTAATAGAAAATAAATATTATATATAAATTATTTTTAATTAATTAATAATCAACTTCATATAATGTGTTGGCCCATATTTCCACCTCTAGTTTGAGTATTAATAGAAAATCAATATTATATAAATTATTTTTAATTAATTAATAATCAACTTCATATAAAATAAAAAATATACACTTAATTAAGTTTTCCATATAACTAATTTTTTAGTTAATTAATATCATCTAATAAAATTATTATTAAAATTAATATACACTTAAATAACTTCCTCACACTCCTTATTAATAAGACTTTCTCACATCTAATAAACTGTGCAAAATTGTTCATAATAACACTTTCTCACGATAAGAAATTGAGAGAGGTTCTCTGACATATAAACTGTGAGAAAACTTTACATATACTTTATTTTATTATATTTGTTATTAATTTTATTTGTAGTAAAAATAAACTATTTTATGCTTAATAATCAATTCATATAAAAATAGAAAAGTATATACTAAAATAATTTTTCATAAAAATAATTTTTAATTAATTAATATTATTTAACAAAATTAATGAAAAAATAAATATACATTTAAATAATTTTCTTACAATGATCATCAAGGACAATTTCTCACAACTAATAAATTATGAGAAACATCTAAATAATAATTTCTCACACATACTAAATTGAGAGAAATTCTGTTGACATTAATTTTGTGAGAAATACTTGAAAGGATTAAGACTTCTCATGGAAAAAACTTGAAGAGAGGTTCTCACAGTATACGAGTCATGAGAAATATTTGCTCAAAAGACTTTCCTGCGAAAACTATTTGAAGAGAATTTCTCACGGTGTACAATCCATGAGAATTACTTATGGGCACCAATTCTGTGAGAATTCTCATAGACAAAAAGTGAAGGAACTCTATCATTTAGAAATATTTCTCACAAACACAAATTCTGTGAGAATCTTTTACATATATTGTTTGTGAGAAGTTGTTTTTATTATATTTTGACAACATTTCTTTTGTTTTCTCACAACTACCAACTGTGAGAAAATTGGTGCCAAATTGGTGCCATAAAGCGCTATAGTTCTTGCAAATTTTTCATGCAATTCTCACAAATATTTCTTTTATATCATAGTCGTGAGAAAAAGGTGTGAGAAAGGATGCATGAATTAATTTTTCTGTGAGAAAGCTTGCAAGAAATTCTCATGTTTCAATTGTGTGAGAAATTTCCTTAAGAAAAAGACTGTTTTCTTTTGATTATAATCAATGAAATGTGTGACTTATAAATTTAAGTTAAGTTATTTGTAAATTTAATCAATGTCACTTGTAAATAAATAGAAAGTCAATTGTGAATGGATACATAAGTTTATGAATGAGTGTACATATATATCTTTACTTATAAATTTAAGGATCATTATTTGTGAATTTTAGGGAGGTCAATAGTGAATAAATAGATAGTTGCATGAATCTATGCATCATTTGTAATTCAAGGGTAGTCAATTGCAAATTAATATATAGAATGTCATCTGTGAATGAATATGAATAGTTTTAATTTTAAATTAATGATTTGGGACTAGAGTCAGTAATTTGGGCGAAGCCCGAATTCACCAAAAAAGTTAGGGCTGGACTTGACTATATAGGTTTTTTTTAAAAGAATAGGATATTTTAACCCCAACTCAAATTGCACTTGAATTGAATAAGCCCAATCACTGAAATTGCTGACTCCATATGTATATAAAGGAGGTAATTTTGGCAAGTCTAATGGGTCAACCCAAACCTGGCTAAAAAAATTTTGAGTCAAGCTTGACTATATAAGTTTTTTTAAAGGAGTAAGATACTTAAGCTGGCTTGAATTGAGCCTAATCCAAATAGCCTAACCCACTCAAATTACTGACTCTATTTGGGAACCCTCTCTCATGTTTCTCAATATCCATTTACAATTGATTTTTTTCAAAATTTATGAGTGATTCTTCTTAAATTTACAAGTGATGATGTGTATGTTCAAAAGTGGTCTTCCATAAATTTATAAGCAACTTTCTTTAAATTCATGATTTACTTTCTATTAGTTATTTCACCAATTAAAATTATTTTAATTGCAAATCAAGGACATGGTCCTTTTCTGGCATTTCAATATTCCAAGGTCTTCAATTGTTATAAATATCTTTACAGGGGTCCCTGATTGTCATTTTCCAGTTTACTTTTGAACTGACAAAATCACCCTTAATATTTCTTCTTCCTATTTTTATGATTCACTTCTTAACTTCATAAATTGCAAATAATTATCAGTATGGAGTTGTGAATTCCTAAAAATCCATTTGTAAAAAAAAGAAATATAATCCCCTATTCAAATCCTTACACTAACTACTTGTAAATTACAAATTTCAATTATAAATTATAAGTAGCCTTGTCCAAAAAAAAATATAAGTAGTAGAATTGTAAATTCCTAGCTGATGAAAAAATAATATAAATTCCTAGATATCACTTGACACTTGTAAATAAAAAAAACCCAGCATTTAAAATCTTTTACACAATTTAATTACTTGTACATTCTGACAAAAGTTCAGCTACGCTGTATAAGCAGCGGAATTGTATTTTTCCAATGACCGCTTGTAAATAAAAGAAACTCTATAATTATATTTTAACATTATTCATTTAAAAATTCCAAAAAGGTCGTTGTAAATTGTCAACAATAGAGTTTTGTAAATAATAATCAGAAACCATTGTAAATAAAAATAAACCAATGTTCAGAATCTTATGCCATTGAAAATGTTTGTTTTTGCCTTTTTGGATGATTCATAAATTCTTTTCAACAATTAATAAATTATTGTTGATAGTGATCTACAACACAAATTTTGCAATTTACAGGTCAATGGTATTAAACAAGTGGTCTTCAAAAATTTACCATTGCTAATAATTTACTACTAAACTGAAGTACTCTATATACATCATCAATTGGGTCAGTATCTAAACATGCTTGGGGCCAATAAAAATATCAATTTCATCATCGGTAAAATAAAATTTTATTCCTTTCAAAGACCTTAATCCTTAAAAAGTATATTTTAAAAAATTAAGGTCCTTAAGTGTCTTTTCAAAGTCCTCAAGTGTCATTCTCCCGGAGACGTATGAAAGAACAACTAGGGAATTTGTTTAGTTCTCATTAGTTCCTCCTAAAATTTTAGGTTTGAAGCATGAAAGTTTGCATTTGAGGGCCCACAATGTCATTATTTGTCAAAAGAAACTTAAAACAACTTCTTATTTACTATTCCCTCTAATTTTATTTATAAATTACTTTTAGCATGTTTCATTAGAATAAAAAAAAACCTTAAAACTTGTTAACTTTGTCTTAAGATTTAACAAGTTTTCATCTTTACCTCTAATAAATTTTTTTTAAATCTCATTACTTGTATTTTTATTCAAAATATTTAATAAGGGCAAAAATGTAAAGAAGAATATTAAAAAATTAAAAAATACCCTATAAATAAGATCAAATTTTTTTCTTTTTTTTTCTGCCTTATAAATAGAAAGAGAAAGAAACTGATTAGACCACCAACATGCAATTATCCAAATTATTAAATTAAAAATTATTTACTTGAAATTATTAAATATTTTATTATAATTATAAGTCCATTTATTATTTTAAAATTACAACCCTTAAAAATTTCACAGAAAATTTTTCATGTAAAAAACAAGTAACAAAAAATTATTTCATAAAACGCGTTGATCTTGCCATTACTATCTTGATTGATCTAGATTTTAAGTTAGGTAAGCCTCAATTGGAAAATGCTGGCTTTCCCCTTAAATCTAAGAGACTCAAAGTCAAGACTTTATAATGTCTAATTTTATTTTACATATATTTATTTTATTTAAAAAAACTTCTTGAAATTTTTGTTTTACAAACTCTTACATTTTTAACTTCTGAATAGGAAATTTGGGTTTGTTTTTTTTATTAAAGTTAATTTTTAACCAAAAAAGGTCTCTCTCGCACACACACACGTACGTTTTTATCTTATATTTTTAGGAAGACTTGTCACTTGAAGAATTATATTAACGCATATGCTATTGACTATTGTGCTGAACAAGTACTTAAATGTGAACATGAAAATTTGTCCTGAATTCGAGCCTAATTATAATTAGTCATGCACTGTAGCACGAGTTTGGCAGCTTGTCACTTTATAGATATTGGATGACGGACTTTCAAGCGTCCACGACGGAGTTTGGCGAACTAAACAGAAAAAGATTTTAAAGTCTCTTTTATGGTTCTCCCAGCACATCAAATTCCTGACTTACCCCTATCTATCTATATAAAGACCAAGGAAACCCACATGGATTCTCATCAAAGCTCAAACCAAAGCGCTCTCTCATATATCTTCCACTATTCTTCTCTTCTTCTTCTTCTTCGCGTACAGTTCATAACTTAGCCATGGCTTCTTCTTCTTCTTCTTCTGTAAAATCCTTCATTACAGCTCTATTCCTTATGGCTCTGACAAGCATGATGATGAGTTTGAGTGTGGTTGAAGCTCGCCATCTTCTGCAAACAACAAAGCCTTCGATACCAAACATGCCTGGAATTCCAATTAACTTGCCTAAGCCAACAGGATTGCCACCTTTGCCTTCAATCCCAATAAATAACATTCCTCCTTTGCCAACAAATATCCCAAATCTGCCAAAACCCAATTCTCTTCCTCCTCTTCCTTCTATGCCCACCATTCCTAAACTGCCACAAGTCACTCTTCCTCCATTGCCTAAACTTCCTTCTATTCCCACTCTCCCGACTACTATGCCTTCCATTCCATTCTTCTCTCCTCCTCCTTCTAATTGAAAACACTCTATATAGATTGGTTCACTTGTTGTTCACCTAGTGTTAGCTGCTTCATGATCTGCAGCATGCTAGAATATGTACGTCTTTAGTATTGGTTTAAATTTGCTTTATCTTATTCTTCGTCTGTATGTTTGGAAGAGTTGTATTGTGGCTATATATGTCATTTTATTTTCTTTTCATTTTGTGTGAAAGTTAGAACAGTGTGTAATAATTTTTTTAGTATTTCCATGAATTTCTATTATACAATAATGAAGTTACTGATGTTCCTCGATCTCCTCTCACAGTGCTTTTTGATTAAATTTATATTGACGTACGGTTCAAAACCATCAATGAGCATAACTACTAAGTGTTGGAAGTAAAATTCAACATATATATAGGGGCCACACATGTAAATAATATGAAATATATAGCCATTATATTATTTAATTAAGTCTTTATAAAGTGATCTCCTAAGTTAAAGTTTTAACTCTTAAGGCTTACAAATATAATTGTTATGAAATTAATATATAGAGATTATAGTGATAGGAGGGAAACATTTTTATTGGGAAGTTTCATTAAATCTAGTGATTAAACTTAATTTCAGTCAACTCTCAAAAATTTTGAAACATCAATTCAATCCTATGGGTCCCATTTGGACAAAATTGAAATTAAGTTTTTTAGGGAAATGACATAAATAACCTCAGTCTCTTTGAATAAAAACAACTAACATAAGAAAAGTGAACAATAATTAATGTATAGAAAATGAACAACTAACACAGAAAAAATTGTAATTCTCATTAATAACATAATACCATTATGAATAAAAAATAAAATTAGACGTATGAACAACTGGTGTGAAGAGCATGAATAATTGATGTATGAAAAATGAACAAATGATATAGATGAAATTCACAACTCTCATTAATAGCATAACACCACATGAATATAAATTAATGAAGCTAGGCTTAGGAATAACTCGTGTAGAAAGAATGAACAAGTATTGTATGAAAAATAGTTAACAAATGATGTAGGGGATTGAAATTATTTGTGTTATTTCTCTCAAAAACTTAATTTTAATTTTGCCCAACTGAGACCCATAGAAACTAAATTGAAGTCTCAAAATTTTAGGGGGGTTGACTGAGAAAAATAAGTTTGGTCAAGGGAATTTAATGGAATTTTTCCCTTCTATTCCCTTGTCAGTCATTCAGAAATTCCCAAGAATAATTTAAAACACACTCATTCACGAATTTGAATATTATTGATTCAAATTAAAACAATGGATTGAGGTATACTTGCATGTTTTATCTCTATTCCTAAAATTGATATAGGATTGATTTGATGGATATTATTATAGATTTGATTCTTGAACTTTTTTTACATTCATATGGATTATCAAATCCATCAAAAAGTTCAAGTTAACAAAGGCTCCATGTATTGACATTTCTTTTAAAAGCCACAAGTTAACAAATACTTATCTTGTCGTATGTCGCACTTTTAATCGTCTGTCAACTATTTCTCTCATAGTTCTCAACATATTAATTCTTTGCTGACGGGTACAGAAAATAAGGCGGCTACTTTGCAATTTGCACGCAGGCCCTACTCTTTAGGCAAGATTCTCCAACACAGTATTCACCATAACAAATCATATCACTTTCTCATGTATTCTACACCCTACGCCCTTATATACAAAAAGTCTTTTAAATTTTTTAATTATTATCATATTTTTTAATAAAAAATCATTATATTCTTATTAAATTAAAAAAAGTAAATATTTTATTAATTTACTTTGAAAAAAGTTTATTTTTTATTTACAATTAATAACTAAAAAAATTAAAATGTTATTATGTTTTTAATTAGACAATCAAATTTTATTAATTTATATTATTTGATTAAAAATATTTTATATATAAAAATGAAGCAGTAGCTATAATCATTAATTAAAATTATGTGATCATATATAGTATCTTTGTCCTTGGGAATGAATATAACACCCTTCACGCGCGCGCGCAAAAATGGATTCACACTTTGAAACTAAGTGATAAAATGAACAATTATTTGCAGCATAGCATCCTTTGATACGCTTCCATAAAATTTGTCAAATGAAATCTCAAATCAACAAATTATCTCTTAAACTTTAGATCAAATAACACTTTAGACCTTAAATTTGATTATTGTATAATTTTGACCATTTTTTGAGAAAATGACAGAAAAAACTTCAAAAATGATAAAAAATCATATTAAAGGACCTAAAAATTATAAAAAAGAAAAAAAAAATTGATCATTTTTTGTAATTTTTTATGTTATTTTCTAGGCAACTGATGGTCAAAATTAATTTTTATTAACAAAGAAAACCAGATTGTATTATTCTCAAAATACTTAATTAACGATATTGTACGCCTCCACAGTATATATGTTTCATTCAACAAGCACGAAGAGGTAGTTTTATTGAGCTTCGATCAGATAATATATATATATATATATATATATTTTAAATTTTTAATTAAGAGTAAAACATGATTAATCATAACGAGAAAAACTTGAAGACGCAGATTTAATTTGACACATTAAGAAAAATAAAATGAATCTTACGTTCTTTAAATTATAGAGGCATTTTTACCATACATAATATTAACCATTAATTATATAAACATGCTTTCGTAGAATAGGACACAATAACTCAAAATTTCTTAACAATGTATTCTAAAGGTCAAATGAACATACAGCAATATAAAGAATTGCTGAGATTTTCTTTTGTTGCCCAGACATTCGCCATAAAAATTAATCTTCTTAAAAGTTACTATGAACCAATTTAGTTAAGCCAACTCAGCGGATTTTATAACTCAAAGTCAATTATTGTCGTTGTTGATATTATTATCATTATCATCATAAGAAGTTTTTATTTCCCCTTTTCGTATAAAATAAAATACTCTATGTATATATATATATATAGTTGGCCATCTTTGAAAGTTCAGAGTTAAATAAGAACCAACAACCTAATCAATCCAACCACAAGAGAACACGTACCATACAGGAAAATTGGTGAACTAACAAATTAAAAGATCTCAAAAGCGTCTTTATGGTTCTCCTAACCCCAAAATCTCTATCTGCCTCTGTCTATATAAGACCATAATCCTTAGGATTTTCTCATCAAAGCTCAAACTGAAGCATTAAATTATATATTCGCATCTTCCATATCTTCTGCACCCTTGAACTTCGTAATTCAGCCATGGCTTCTTCTGGGAACAACATCCTCCTAACTTTCCTTCTGGTTCTCACAGTGTCAAGCATGATGATGAGTTCAGCTGTGGTAGCAGCTCGTCATCTTCTCCAAACGACACAGCCTTCGATACCAAACATGCCTGGGATTCCAAGTAACCTGCCTAAGCCAACAGGATTACCACCTTTGCCTTCAATCCCAATAACAATGCCTCAGCCAAACAATGTTCCTCCTTTGCCCACAAACATTCCGAATCTTCCTTCCATGCCTACCATTCCGACAGTGCCGCAGGTTTCTCTTCCTCCATTGCCATCCTTAAACTCCTTCCCAAACATTCCCTCAATTCCCACCATCCCTGGCACTATGCCCTCCATCCCATTCCTCTCTCCTCCTCCTTCTAATTAATCTCAGAAAACAGTAACTTGTTGTCCATCCACTGCTAGTTTCTTGATGGGGTCCTTAGCACTCATGTAATTCATTTGTATTGGCTTAAATTGTTTTCTTGTATTTCCGCTTGGAGGATATAGTTTTATGTCACTATATATATGTCATTTGTTTTTATTGTTTTTTTCGGTTTTGTGTGAAGCTTATGTTATGGGAATCATATGTAGATTATTGGTTATTATACAATAATAATGCAGTTGCTATGATATCCTCTCCGATCTCTCTTGAGACTTCTTTAACCATTATCAGCACTATATATGATTGGCAAATGTGTACATTTATGATCCTCAAATATGTTTTATTTTAGTCTTTTAATTTTATTAATTTTCACATTAGTCTTTTAAATTCTAAAATGTGGTAAAAAAAACTTTCTGGTACTTATATAATACCCTTAAATAAGTTTATGGAAAATGAAAATTTGCATCGTGAAATTTATCTTATAAAAATTGCTATGCATAAATTAATCTAAATACTATAATTAAAGTATTTTTAATGCTTGACATACATAATTACATTAAAATTATTTTAGTTTATGATTTATATTACCGATCATAAAATACATTATTTTAAAAATATTTCAATAAAATATTTAGAATTGCAACCTTAAAATGAATAATTTTTATTTATTTAAGAAATATAGAAAAATTCAAACCATAAACATATATAAAGTATAATAACTAAAAATTAAATTAAATTAAAATTTATTTTCCAATGTATAAAAAAATTATAATTAAATTTTTTTAATGTTTTAAAATAAATATGTAAACATTAAATACAACCTGTCTGTCAATTAAGGGATCATAGACATACATACATACAAACATACATACATACATACATACATACATATATATTGGCCGAAAAGGCATCATAGATATATACTTTCACCTATAATGTAAAATATGTAATATATCATGGTTAATATTTGAACCTTATATACAAAAATATTCCTAAATGTTATTATGGATTATTTTTATTTTTTAACTTTATAAATTTAATCTTCTATGTGTCTTATATGGTCTCACATTTAAATTTTTTAATATTTTTTATTATAAAATATTTAATAAAGGGTCCCACCATTTTTAAAATATTTTTTATAATATAAAAAAAATTGTCTCTCCTCCCATCTCTCTCATTCTCTCTTTCCTCCCCTCTCTCTTCCGCGTCTCCTCCCTATTGTCTTTCCTCAATACCTCTCCCCCTCCCCACTCTCTCTCCTCCATCATGTTCGTCGTCCATGAATGCATGTGCATGCAAAAGCTTTGTTATTTACTTACTCTCTATATATATAATATCTTTCATATTTATGCATGCAAAAATATTATGTGAAAGTATAACAGAGCAAGCTCGAGGGATGAAGGCATTGGAGCATGCTCTGTTTCACAATCATAAAAACAGAGCAAGCTCCCCTAACTCAATCTCCATCCATCCATCTCACCTTCTCGATGTGTATTTTCAATCTTCTTCCGTCACCAGCGACAACCTCGTTAGCATCTCTCTCTCCTCTCTCCCTTTCGTTGCAACTCAATCTGTTTGAAACTAGTTCTGTTGCAGAAGGCTATGAAGATCGACAGAGTGAGAGTGAGAGAGAGAGAGAGAGAGATGGATCTCCAACATAATCCCCTACACTGGCCGATGAGTGTGTGAGGAGAGAGGACGATGAATTTGTTGTAGCTTATCCCCATATTTACAGGTTTTCGTTCTTTCAAGGCTATCAAAGTAGAGGTTAACGGTAACGTGGGTGTGAACATGACCAACTTTCGTCAACGTCAAAACTCTACCACGTGAAGCAATCAATATAAGTGGAGTTTAACGAGCTAGTGGCGGCGAGTGAAGTGTTAAAGCAAGTGGAGCATCCATGGCAGACCCTGTTGCAGAGGATCAATGTGATCATGTTCTACGTGGTCACTAAGGAACATGGGATCGACTTTGATGGCCACCATGGCGGTGCTCCTATGTGCACGGGACTACTAGCAGTGATGAGCATCATGCACATTTCTCATGGTGAGTTCAACGACTCTACGGAGCTCACGGTCAGTTCATGAGTGCTTCACTTCTCTCGCAGAATCGAACTCATAACTTGCAACAAAGTAAAGCCAACATTCCCTCACCAGCAAGCTGTGAGTTGAAGGAGATGAAGGAGAAAGAATGAGACGGAGAGATGGAGCTCTCACCAGTTGGCATGAGATGAAGGAGAGAGCGTGAGATTGAGAGGTGTAGGCACAAAGAGAGATGAATGGAGGGGGAAAGAGAGAGACTTTTACGTTATAAAAAATATAAAAAAATTGTGGAATCCACTATATATTATTTTATAATTTTTTTTGACCAAAATATATTATTTTATAATAAAATATATTTTTAAACATGAGACCAAAGTAACAGAAAAAGTACGCAGTTTAACGTCAGGGAGATGGTTAGCAAATTTTTTAAAATTAAAAAATAAAATTAATTTCAAATTAAATTTAAAATCATTTGTAATTTTTTATATGTGCCTTGGTACATTTTTTGACCCCTAGCTCTAAAAAAAACAGCCATTAGAATAATTACTCTTTTTTTTGCTCAAAAAAAAGAATAATTACTCTTTGAATGCTTAGAATAATTACTTTTAACTATTCCTGACGATACCTAAATGATATGATTTGACCCAATATCAAAAGTTTGACACTGAACGTAGCTTACCCGTTGGTGCCTTTCACGCGCGCGCGCGCGCGCGTTTGCCAATCCTGTAAGAATGACCAGGTGCTTAATGTGTGTCGACGAATAAAAATGCGGATAAAATTTCGTAATTTTTTCTGCCACAATGAAATTTCGTAATTTGATCTTGCTTAATAAAGAATTTAAGCACAAATCATGTCAGCTTAAAATACGGGAAATGACGTTAGAGGACAAAAAAGTTTCGTTAAACTTAAATAAGGACTAAACTATTTAGAATTTTAACGTAAAGCCCAAAATGTCCTTTAATGAATTATTATTTAAAAGTTTGTTACTGTCATGATGCGAAACCTTTATAACAAAAATCTCCAAGTCAGTGACATTTGCTAATTTGTAAAAAAAAAAAAAAGTGTCAGAATATCCATTTACTTGAAAAATTGTTTTCCTTCACAAATTAATGAATTTTATTTGCAAATTTGTATTTTGAGAGCTGCAAATAAAATTATGAGAATAGCAAATCAGTGAAAAAAATATGTTATTTGGATGGTCTAGATCACATCTTATCCAAAATGTTAAGAAATTACAATGTTGATAGTCAACTTAATTAAAGACACAATATGAGACCCATTCATATATATTTTAAAAATAGAGTCAATACATTTCTTGGTAAATAATAGATTCAATACTTTATATATTTTTAATATCATCAATATATTAAATGGTAAAAGAACAAATTGAACTATAAATGTCTAGTAATGACTGGGATCATAAGCTCATTTTTAGTGTAATATTTTGCTTTAATTTTTAAAAATGATGTTTACTAAAAATAGATATTTTGACAGAAAATAATTAAAACAAGATGCACCCTTTCTAATGAGATATTGATGATCCAAATAATATTATTTTGTACTATTCATCTAAAATAGACAAAATATTAAAGTCTACCCTTAAAAAAATGCAGACCGATTAATTCTTAAGATGAATAAAATATTAATTTCTAATTTTAAATATAATATTTCTATTTTTAAGATTGAAAATATTTCTCTCATTTCCATTGTTGTCGAGAACTGCTAAAGCAAATTTATATAAATAAGGACCAGTTATTATCAAAATTAAATAAAAAACAAGGTTAAATCAACTGCTGTTGATTTAAAATAAATTTTTGTTAAAATTTAAATAAATACTTATTGATAAAAGATTAATCTAAATTAATAAGTATTCATTTAAATTTTGATAATAAATAATTTTTAATTAATATAAATTTCTTCCAACAATACTTGACTGCTATTTTCCCTTTAAAATGTTAGAGTTGGACGTCCTACTTTTGAATGTTGAGACTTGAGAGCTCTGATATGGTCACCAACCATAACAGTCCAACCAAAAAGAATACAGACACGGAACTGGTGAACTACCAGAAAATCTTAAAGGCTCTTTATATGTACTCCCAACCACGCATGCCCTACCTACCTTTATATCTATATAAACACCAAGCAAACCCATCGATTCTCATCACAACTCAAACCAAACCATTAATTCTCTCATATACCTTTCTTCTTCTTCTTGGGCAGTTCATAATTCAAGCCATGGCTTCTTCTTCTGAGAAATCCATCACCACGGTGCTATTCCTTCTGGTTCTCACAGTGTCCAGCATGCTGATAAGTTCGAGTGTGGCAGAAGCTCGTCAACTACTGCAAACAACACAGCCTTCGATACCAAACATGCCTGGAATTCCAAGTAACTTGCCTAAGCCAACAGGATTGCCACCTTTGCCTTCAATCCCAACAAATAACATTCCTCCTCTGCCAACAAATATCCCAAATCTGCCGAAGCCCATTTCTCTTCCTCCTCTTCCTTCTACGCCCACCATTCCTAAAGTGCCACAAGCCTCACTTCCTCCGTTGCCTAACATTCCTCCTATTCCCACTATTCCAACTACTATGCCCTCCTTTCCATTCCTCTCCCCTCCTCCTTCTAATTAATCTTAGAAAACAGTCACTTGTTGTCTATCCACTGTTAGTTTCTTGGTGGGGGTCCTTAGTACTCATGTAATACATTTGTATTGGCTGAAATTTTTTCTTGTATTTCTGCTTGGAAGGATATAGTTTTATGTCACTATATGTCATTTATTTTTATTGTTTCTTTTGGTTGTGTGTGAAATTTATGTTATGGGAATCATGTGTAGATTATTGATTATTATACAATAATGATGCAGTTGCTATGATGTCCTCTCCGATCTCTCTCATGAGACTTATTTAACCATTATCAGCACTATATGTGATTGGCTAATGTGTACATTTATGATCCTCGAATAAGTTTTATTTTAGTCTTTTAATTTTATTAAATTTCACATTAGTCTTTTAAATTTTAAAATGTGGTAAAAAACTTTTCTGGTACTTATATAATACCCTTAAATAAGTTAATGGAAAATGATAATTTGCATGGTGAAAATTTATCGTATAAAAATTACTGTGCATAAATTAATCTGAATATTATAATTAAAGTATTTTTAATGCTTGCTGGCATAAATAATTAATTCCCTAAGATAATTGCATTAAAGTTATTTTAACTTATGACTTATAATTACCGACCATAAAATACATTATTTTAAAAATATTTCTATAAAATATTTAGAATTGCAAACTTAAAATAAATAATTTTTATTTATTTAAGAAATATAGACAAATTCAAACCATAAACATATATAAATTACAATAATTCAATTTTAAATTATAATTAAAAAATTTTAATGTTTCAAAATAAATAAGTACAACATTAAATACAATCTGTCTGTCAATTAAGGGATCATAGATACTTTCGCTTATAATTTAAAATATGTGGAATAGCAAGGTTAACATTGGAACCTTGTATACCAAAAAGCCATTAGAATAATTACTTTTAATTATTCCTGACGATACTTAAACGGTCTGATTCGATCCAATATCAAAAGTTTGACATTGAACATAGCTTACCCCGGCCCGTTGGTGCCTTTTATATCATATATATATATATGTGTGTGTGTGTGTGTGTGTGTGTGTGTGTGTGTGTGTGTGTATGTATGTATACATATCTATATGTATGTATGTTTGCCAATTCTCTAAGAATGATCAAGTTCTTAATGTGTGTCAACGAATAAAAATGTGGATGAAATTTCGTAATTTTCTCTGCCAGAAGAAAATTTCATAATTTGATCTTGCTTAATAAAGCATTTAAGCACGAACCATGTCATCTTAAAATACGGGGAAATGAAGTTAAAGGACAAAAAAAAATTGAGTTAAACTTAAATAAGGACTAAAATATTTAGAATTTTAAAATAAAGACCAAATATCCTTTATGTTACATTTGGATGCATATAAATTTAAATTTGAGCCAAATCCACTATTTGGGCAATTAAAATGTGTGGATTTAGATTTGTCTCAAATCCAAATTCAAATTCTACTTCAATCTTTTTGTAATTTAAACATTTTTTAAACTCTTATTATTTCAAATTTTCATGGAAGCCTTTCTCCTCCTTCACATTTGTTCATCGATTTTGCTGCTTTCTTGACTTCAACATCACCAACTAAGATTGAACAACCAGTGATGATCAGGATCAGACCACTGGCCTCGTCCGAGACTGAACTACTAGCATAAAACGAGACTGCACAACTACCTATGAATGAGATTGGATAGCTAGCACCATTGGGACTACATGACTACCTTCAATGGAGATCAGACCTCCAACGCCAACTAGGACCAAACGATTGGTGCTAACTAGGATTGCACAACTACCTTCAACTGAGACTTGACAACTAATGCCGACCAAGATCGAACCACCAATGTGACTGAGGCTAGATAGCTAGTGTTGACCAAGACTATACTAGTGACTTCAATAGGGAACGCATTACCAACTTTGACTAAGACCAAGATCGAGACCAAACTTCGACCAGGATCGAATTGCCAGTGTTAATTGGGTTTAGCAATTTTAAATTTTAATTCACTTTCAATCACCCTCCTTTACCACCCAATGTTAATCCATTGCTGTCATCATCATTTAATGTTGATCCACTTTTGTCATCCAATGTTGGTCTACTGCCATCGCTTGGTGCTAGTCCGACACATCCAACGGGCATCAGTCTACCATCCTATGCCAAATGTTGCCATTAATAAGGAATGGTCTAGTGTGGTCATGAAGGTCCAATCTGTAGCCCTTAGACTACTATCATCATCTCATGCTAATTTGTAGGTTTTGTTCAAGATTGGACCACCAATGCCGCTCAAGACTAATTTGTCAATGCCAATCAAGACTAAACCATTAACGTTATCCAAGTTTGGACTGTCAAAATCAACAAAGAACTGGCTGCCACCCTTGTTCAAGAGTAAACCACCAACATAGTCCAAGTTGTTTTTAAATTCAAACATAAAATTTGTAATTTAAAATTTTATTTAAGATCCAAACAAAGAATTTTAATATTATAATTTAAAAATTTTTATATCATCTAAATATAGAATTTAGAATTTATAAATTTCAAATGTGAGATTTCAAATATAAGATTTTAAATTCAAATTTACAATTTACAATCTAAATTCACCCATCCAAACTCAAGTTAGTGAACTATGGTTTAAATCATTTCATGATTTGAAACCTTCAAAACAAAAAATCTGCGAGTGAGATTTGCTAATTTGTAAAGAAAAAGTTTGTCAAAATATCCATTACTTGAAAATTGTTTTCCTTCACAAATTAATGAATTTTACTTATTGCAAATACGTGTTTTAAGGATTGCAAATAAGGTTATGAGAATAGCAGATCAAAAAAAAAACATAGTATATTATTTGGATGGCCGAGACCACATCCTATCTAAAAAGTTAAGAAATTACAATGTTGATATTCAACTTAATTAATGGCACAATCTGAGACTCATTCATATATATTTTAAAAATAGAGTCAATACATTTGTTTGGTAAATAATAGATTCAATACTTTTTATTTTGTTTAACATCATTAATATATAAAAAGGTAAAAGAACGAATTGACCTGTAAATGTCGAGAAATATTTAAAATCATAAACTCATTTTTAGTATTACATTTTTCCTTTAATTTTTTAAAATGATGTTTTGACTCCTACCATTAACAAAAAAATAACTTTGATTGTTAATTAATAAAAAAAATAATAGAAAAAGATCTCAAAAATTACAGAAAATAACCAAAAAAAATCAAAGTAAAGGATCCAAAAATTACAAACAGTGACCCAAAAAATTACAGAAAATGGCTAAAAAAATTTATTGGCCATCTTTTATAATTTTTTATATCATTTTATTTTATTTTTTAGTTAACTAATAGTTAAAATTAACTTTTTTTTAATGGTGAAGACTAGATTGCATTATTTTCAAAAGTTGAAGAAGAACATTTCATCAAAAAAAAGTTTAGGATCCCAAACTCTTGGATCTATAGTTTATGGTCCAATTTGCTCTTTTATTCTATTAAATTCTCATTTAAATTTTTTTAAAAAAATCATTCAAATCCAATTGCAGAACAGGTTTAAATAAACCAGCCTGAGCTATAATGTTAATGTCACTTGATCCCATTCTAATCTAAGTCTTAATGAGATATGCACATTCTAATTTTTGTCTTTGGAATATAGTTTAATTAAGTTTTTGTTTATTAAAACGAGATTTTTTGACAGAAAATAATTAAAACAAGGTATATAATATTAAAATATCTAATTTAATTTTTTGCAACCTTTATAATGAGATATTGATGACCTAAATAATATCATTTTTGCACTTTTCATTTAAAATAAACAAAATATTAAAGTCTACCCTTAAAAAAATGCAGACAGAATAATTCTTAAGATAAATAAAATATTAATTTCTAATTTTAAATATAATATATTCCAATTTTTAAGATTTTAAAAATTGCACTTATTCCCTTTTTCCCTCTTAATATACTTTTAAAATATAAGGGTTGCGCATCCTGCTTTTGAATGTTGTGACTTGAGAGTTCTGATATGGTCACCAACCATAATAGTCCAACCAAAAAGAATACAGACACAGAACTGGTGAACTACCAGAAAATCTCGAAGGCTCTTCATATGTAGTTCTCCAAACCACACATGCCCTACCTACATCTATATCTATATAAACACCAATAACAACCGCACCGATTCTCATCACAACTCAAACCAAACCATTAATTCTCTCATATACCTTTCTTCTTCTTGTGCAGTTCATGATTCAAGCCATGGCTTCTTCTTCTGAGAAATCCATCATCACGGTGCTATTCCTTCTGGTTCTCACAGTGTCAAGCACGATGATAAGTTCGAGTGTGGTAGAAGCTCGTCAACTACTGCAAACAACACAGCCTTCGATACCAAACATGCCTGGAATTCCAAGTAACTTGCCTAAGCCAACAGGATTGCCACCTTTGCCTTCAATCCCAACAAATAACATTCCTCCTCTGCCAACAAATATCCCAAATCTGCCGAAACCCAATTCTCTTCCTCCTCTTCCTTCTATGCCCACCATTCCTAAAGTGCCACAAGCCACACTTCCTCCCTTGCCTAACATTCCTTCTATTCCCACTATTCCAATTACTATGCCCTCCATCCCATTCTTCTCTCCTCCTCCTTCTAACTAATCTCAGAAAGAGGTTGCTTTATTTATGTGTTCATTCCATGCTGGTTGCTCGATATGGTCCTTACTACTCTGAAGCATGCCAGCATATATATATATATATATAGAATACAAATACAATGTCGGATTCCATTGTTGCATCCTTGGACTTCTATATGTTAGGAGATTTTTATGTCGCTTCATGTCATTTGGTTTTCCCCCCTTTTTGGTTCGGTGTTAAATTAAAAGGCATTGTATTTCTTTTAATATTAGTATGAGTTTATTGTTATTGATTGGTAATATATGATACTTTAATTTCTTAAACTCTGAATGGTTGTTGCAAAGGAATAGAACGGGATGTAATAGATGGATGAAGAATAAAATGAATTCAAATTATAATGATCGTATGTAGATTTTGTGAGAGGAAAGCAATGGAGTGATACAGATTGTTAAAATGAGGATTGACATGTATAAAGGTCATCAACCTAAATTCTCAATTTTTAAGGCATGATGATTTTCTATGAGAGGAAGGCTATTCTCATGATTATGGTCAAATAAACATGATTACATTCAATAATAAAATCGTATCAATATGCTTATATTGAAATAATGATTATTATAAGAGAGGCTATCCAAATAATTGTAAAGAATTGAGGCAAACACAACATTATTACTAGTGTGTTTGGATTGATAAGAAATTTGGATTTAGATTTGGATTTAGTCCAAATCTTTTATTTGAATACACAAAAATTTATGAATTTGGATTTGAAAATTTGAATCAAATCCAAATCCATTTCTTATTACAATTCCTTCATAATTTCAAATTCCATCCAAGTCACTTTAAACATCTCATTTTTTTTTCATATTTTCATTATTAATATCTCTATGATTCTCATATCTTTTCTCATCTTTTATTTTTACTCTTTGTCAATTAAAAAATAAAGATAAATTTATTATTTTTATTTTTTATTTTCATTTAAAATCTCAACTTATTTATCTTCTTTATTTGAAATTTTGAAACTACCCATACAAATGATTTCAAATATATGAATTTTAAATGAGATTTGAAATGTCAAAATTTAAAAAGGGGGTCCGAAAATTTAAAAAAAGTTAACACGCCCTCTTTTAATTATTATACAATACCTTAGCTGACCAAAGATTATCAAACATGTTATATGAAGACTGGCTGCTCTCTCCATTGCAAAGGAGTCTATCGCTCTATCAAATATGCATGTAATCCGGCGAATTGAATGCATCAGCCGCCATAATTAAGTGATTGAATAATAAAATATATATTGTGACCTTTACGAGTTTTGGCATGGATTGTAGTAAAGCCCTCATCCTAAGGGCTAAATATAACTTTCTAGATCCAACGATAATCTGGCACAGGATCCAGATAAGATAATATGATATGGAAATTGTAAAAGGAGGCAGACAGCGCCCTATATTTATTATTCCTTATATAGAGAGCAAGACAACCCTAAGGCCATATGTACAACAGAAGATAAGAACACAGAACAAATAATAAAAGAATAATGTACACAGATCTAGTATATGATGGGCTCACGACCATAGTAATCATCTACTTATTCACGAACAAAGTGAACATCCAATCCAATATGCTTTGTTCGAGCGTGGAAGATGGGATTTGAAGCCAAGGCAGATGCGCTCAAATTGCCGCACTGAGCAACTGGGATATGAGGAATTTTGAAACAAATTTCTGAGAACAGAAATTGGAACCAGGTGAATTCAATTGCAATTAATCAGCCAACACACGATATATACTCTGACTCTATGCTCGATCTCGCAACAACTCTATGTTTTTTCCCAGACCATGCAATCAATGAATCACCAAGAAAAACACAAGACGACCATCAACACAAACAGCCCAATTAGAATCCGAGAAGCCTTTTAAGGTAAAATGATTACTCGGTTTTATGAATAGCCTTGCTTTGCCAATGCTGGTCTGTTGGTAAATGAAGGAACTAGTTGAGCTTATTTACAACAAACATAATATTTGGTCTAGCGTTTACCAAGTAGTATTGTAGTGCTCCTATTACTCTTCGATAAATAGTAGGATTTTCCACCATTGGTGTTGGTACTGGAGGGCATGTAGCCATTCCACACTTGAGTAAATGATCAAGAATATAATTTTCTTTCTTTAGATGCAGACCTATAGTATCTCAATATGCTTCAATTCGAAGGAAATGGTGAAGATGACCCAAATTCTTGAACCTAGATGATGCAGTGGCGGGGATCAAGCAATGCATCTCCATCATACTCGTGGCTATCAACTAGTGTCTCCACTGATGACAAACAATAGAAAATGTCGGGAAACCAAGCTGATGCTCAGAGTTGTTACGTTGGACTCACACAGCCAGATTCTTGAGTAGCATAGTGTTCTTATCCTACGATAGTTGCTGAGATCTGTTGTCGATTGATACTACTCCTGTGATAGAAATGAAGTTTGTTGAAACGGAAAAATAAAAGAGCAGAAACAGAAGTTACATAATGGAGCATAACAAACTCTTTGTAACCTCCCCTTAATTCCTGTAACCTCCCTTTTATTTTGTATGCTTTAGTTTCACAATCTCAGAACTATAAATAGGGCCATTATTGTCTGTGTAATGCACCTCAGTTTTGAAAGAATAAGAATTACTTGTTTTCATTCAGTTTCTGTGCCATTTGTTCTCGTCCTATATATTAGGTTTCTATTTTTAAAATATTGGATATTGTTTTTGGTACATTCCTATACATGTGATGGTGAGTTGTTGCTATGTCATTTGATCCTTTTGTTTTCGGATTGGTATGAGATTTAGGACAGTGTTTTTCTTATTCTTATACGAATTTCTTATGTATTATTACAGACCATATTTACGTTAACCCAATGAAGAAAAGACGTAGATGTTTAATTATTTGATGGCCTAGCTCATCTTCACCACGTATAAAGATCAAACAATGCCCCAAGTTATTAGTTGAATGGTTTGAAACCATTAAAAACAAGATTTTTTTTAGTGAGATTAACTATATAATTTGTAAAGAAAAACCTTGCCAATATAACAACACTTCTAATAGTTTGCTACCACTCTCATACCCTAATTTGTAACCCTCATAACAAGAATTTTTGCAAAAGAGATTCCTTATTTTGTGAAGGAAAAATGGTCTGTGAAGAAACATGTATAGATCGTTCAAAGTCATGGCTCTTGATTCCAACCGAGTCTTCCATGCTCAATAATAACTTGTAAAAATTTATGTCATTTTAATACATTTTCCTAACTTATCTTCTATTAAACATATATCTAGGCCCATATTGACTGAACCATCAAAGAAGAAGTCCAAGAAGACTAAATGGCCCAAAGTTTAATTTGCAGTCCATGTGTATATTATTTCCTTCTTCGTCTGTATTGTAGTTGATTCTTTCTCATTATAGAATAGGGCTAACGTGGTCCCTGTGCTGTAACTAACTCTGCTATACGTTTTCTCTATATAATTAATTGTTTTGCACAGGCTGCTCACGTTGAGAGAGCACAGCATTTTCTAAATCTGTCTTTTGCAATTTGGTATCAAAACAGACATCATCAATGGCAACCTTTCTAATTCTCTCAACCACCAGCTCACCTACTTTCACTTCCTCTACTATGCCTCTTTTTGCTACTTCTGCCATTCCATCCTTTTCTTCCTCTTCCACCTCCATACCAGAAATCAATACCGTCATTCCTTCTGTTGCTGCTATTCAAACTAAAACAATACCACTCCTCAACAGCCTTAATCAGGCTGGATCAATCAAGTTGGACCAATCCAATTACCTCCTCTAGAGTCGTTTTGTTCTCTTTGTTCTTGAAGGACACAAACTAGAAGGATTTATTACATGAATGAAGATTCCTCCTCTAAAATTTGTAGCTGATGGTAACGATGTTGTTGTGAATCCTGCCTTTGAAGATTGGCAAGCTACAAACCAGCTTATATATGGCTAGCTCCTTGGGTCCATGGGAACTAATATTTCAACTCAAGTTTTACACTGTCGAAGTGCTGCACAAATTTGGAAAGTAGTCACCGATCTAGCATTTTCTAACACTAGAGCTCGTATTACTCTGATGAAGTCTAAATTTCATAGTACTCGAAAAGGTTCTCTTCAAATGGAAGAGTATCTCAGCAAGTTGAAGCTACTGGCAGACCATATGGCATTAGCTGGGCATCCCTTACTAATACCTGATGTTGTCATGCAAACATTGGCTGGACTTGATGCCAATTATACTCCTATTGTTGTACATCTTGTCGATAAACTTGATTTGTCATGGGTTGATTCACATTCATCTCTTGTGACATATAAGTAGCATATCGAACACCTTAACAATGTTAACACAGTAAGTACAATGTTTGCTAATTTAAGTTTTCAAACTAATCGATCTATTTCCAGTACTGAACATTCAGGTTCTCATGGATCTTGGCATTTCTCTAGTTGAGGTCGAGATGGTAACGGCTGAGGTGGCAATCGTAGTCGGGGATGTTATAAAAATAATAACAATAAAGTGAAGTGTCAACTGTGTAGTCATCCTGGTCATGTGGTTGATGATTGTTTCTATTGCTTTAATGGAAATTATGTATATCATGAGAGATCAACTCTATCAGCTTATTATGCTTCGCCTAAAACAATTCAGGATCCAGCTTGGTATTTAGATAGTGGAGCTTCAAACCATGTCACAAATCTCAATGGTAATTCTATTTCTGGTGCTCAAATAGTGACAGGTAAATTAACAGTTGGTGATAGCGCAAGTCTGCCTATCTCTGGTCATACTTCAGGTTATTTTAAATGTGGTTCATCAGAGTTATTGCTAAAGGATATTCTTGTGGTCCCAACAATAATGAAAAATCTGCTTAGTTTCTCTGAATTAGTCTTGGATAATGATATACTAATTCAATTCCTTGGTGTTTATTATGTTGTGAAGCATCTGAGAATGGGCAAGGAACTGCTTAAAGGGACACGGTGTGATGGTTTATACAAGATAGATAGCGAGCTTTATGTTTATCAACTTTATGATTCAGCTCATGATGATAGACCTGTTGCTTTGTTAGCTACTTTAGAAACATGGCATAAGAGATTAGGTCATTCTTCTTGTAAAACCGTTAAGGAACTATTAAAGCATTGTAATATCAACCTTGATAATACTGTTGCTCTTGATTTTTGCAATGCATGTCAACTTGCTAAAATGCATAAATTACTTTTTTCATTATCTGATTCTACCACGAAAGCTCCCCTGGAACTAGTTTACACTGATTTATGGGGACCTACAACCATTTCCTCTAAATCTAGTTTTAAATATTATATTAGTTTTGTGGATGATTTCAGTCGATTTACGTGGTTGTATCCACTCCGTTCTAAGGGTGAAGCTCTGTCTTCTTTTATTCAATTTCAAAAATTAGTAGAGAATCAGTTAGACCAAAAAATTAAAGTTCTCCAGAGTGATTAGGGTGGAGAATTCTGTAGTTTCACTTCAACCTTAACTGATTCAAGAATTTTATTTCGATATCCTTGTCCACATACTTTTTAACAAAATAGAAGGGTTGAGTATAAATATTGCCATATTGTTGAAATGGGTTTAGCCATGCTAGCACAAGCTTCAATGCCACTTCAATACTGGTGGGAGGCTTTCATGAATTCAGTTTATATAATTAATTGTCTTCCTATACCAGTGTTAACACAAAAATCACCCTTTGAAGTTCTTTTTGATTCTAAACTAAATTATGGAGGCTTTAAGATTTTTGGATGTTCTTGTTTTCCATGTCTCCGGCCTTATAATAAACATAAGATGGAATTTCGCTCAGAAAAATGCACTTTTCTAGGTCCTAGTCCTTCCCATAAGGGATACAAGTGTTTGAGTCCATCTGGCCGCATATTTATCTCACGCCATGTAGTGTTTAATGAAGCTGATTTTCCTTTTGTAGGAATCTCCTCACAACCTAGAAGAATAGTTGATCATATTTACTCTCTATTAGTTCCATCTCCTATGCTCTGTTCTATAAGTGCTAAAACAGAGGAAGTCGCTTCAGATAATTCCTATGCAAATGTTGATAAGAATTCAAAAACTTTAACTTCTACTGCACGTGTCAATACATCCTTGCTATCACCTGGACTAGCTTTAATTCCTGATAGGCTTTATTTATCTGAACCAGCCCATATAATTCCTTCCTACACTATGGCCAACACATTATCACTTTCTTCACGTTCCAGTCCACATGATAACACTTCCTCAACTGCCCAACGTAGTCCAAGTTTGATTAGTAATGATTCTCGAGCACTGCATATGATGCCCACTCATCCTATGGTGACACGTGGTAAAAGGGGAATTTTCAAACCCAAGCAACCTTACGTGGAGTCAGTCAGTATGATCCTTAACAATTATATACAGAACCATGCTCTGCTAATGAAGCTTTACACCTTGTTCATTGGAAGAAGGCAATGTTTGATGAATATGCAACTCTTATACACAATAATACTTGGGATTTAGTTCCTTTTCACTCTTCTTACAATCTTATAGGCTGTTGATGGATATTCAAGATAAAGTTCAAGTCGAATAACACTGTTGATTGATATAAAGCATGTCTTGTTGTAAAAGGATACTTACAACAACCTGGCATAGATTATAGTGAAACATATAATCCAGTGATTAAGCCATCCACTGTTCGCGTCGTTCTTGCTTTAACAGCTTCCCATAACTGGAGTGTCTAGCAGCAAGACATTAATAACACATTTTTGAATGGTATGTTGCATGAGACTATTTACATGGTCTAACCTGAAGGATTCATTCATCCTCACAAACCTCATCATGTTTGCAGATTGAGAAAGGCACTTTATGGTCTAAAACAGGTACCTCGAGCGTGGTTTGATTGTCTTCGATCTACTCTTTTGTTATGGCAATTTTATAACAGTAAGAGTGATACCTCTTTATTCATTTTGAGAATAGTGATCAGATTTTGATAATACTCATTTGTGTTGATGATAGTCTGGTTACTGGTAACAATCTCCAAAGCATGACTCAGTTTATATCCAAACTTAATGAGTTATTTTCTCTTAAGGATGTGGGACCCATTCATTACTTTTTAGGAATTAAGGTATCGCGTGATGAATTTTTTTTTATCTAAATCAAGGCAAGTATATTATGGATCTTTTGGCAAGTGTAACATGAGTGATTCCTTTACCTACACTACTCCAATGGTTCCAGGTCATACTCTCACTCTTTTTAATAGTGCTCCTTTGCCTTCAGCATCTGACTATTGCCATGTTGTTGGTTCTCTACAATATTTAGCAAACACTCAGCCCAATGTGTCTTTTACAGTAAGCAAACTTAGTCAGTTCTTATCAGCTCCAACTTTGCTACACTAGCATGCAATTAAATGACTTCTACATTATCTTAAAGGAATCATGGATATTGGTCTACATATTAAGAAATCTACTTGTCTTGATCTTTTTGCATATTCTGATGCAAATTTGGCCAGTTTATCTAGACGATCGTCAATCCACAGGTGGTTGTTTTGTGTTCTTTGGTGATTCATTGATTTCTTAGTCCTCAAAGAAACAGTCAGGTGTTGCTCGTTCTAGTGCTGAGTTTGAATATCATTCCCTTGCTCATACAATATTAGAACTTGTTTAGCTTCGGTTGTTGCTTGGTGAACTTGGATTAGTCTCACAACCAACTTCTATCATTTGGTGTGATAATATTAATGCTTCTGCTTTAGCTTCAAATCCGGTTTTTCATGCACATACTAAACATATTGAGATTGACACACATTTTGTTTGCGATTTCGTACTTGCTAAGTCACTTGCTGTTTGTTTTGTTCCTTCTAAGGATCAATTAGCAGACTTATTGACCAAGCCTCTTCCTTCCTCTTGATTTCTTTTTCTCCGAGATAAACTTGGTCTCACTTTGCTCACCTCTCATTTGAGGGAGATGTTAAACATATATCTAGGCTCATGTTAACTGAACCATCAAAGAAGAAGTCTAAGAAGACCAAACAGCCCAAAGTTTAATTTGCAATCCATTTGTATATTATTTCCTTCTTGGTCTGTATAGTAGCTAATTCTTTCTCATTATAGAATAGGGCTAATGTGGTCCTTGTGCTGTAACTAACTCTACAGTACATTTTTTCTATATAATCAATTGTTTTGTACAGGCTCCTCACATTGAGAGAGCACAGCATTTTCCAAATCTGTCTTTTGCAATTTCTTCCATATACTTTTGGTTCAAATGTAAATATTTTGGATACAAGTATAGGAAAATGGACTTTAATTGCACTAGGCCTTGGTTATAGTATTTATTGACAATTTTTAATATCAAAATATTAATAAATTAACTTAAAATAACCAAAATAGAGCTGCCATGTGAATTTTCAAAACAATATATACAATTTTTTAACTTAAGTACTTAAAATATTTACAATTATATTAAAATATATTAAAATTAAAAAAAATATTCACATAACATGAAATTTTAGAGGTTTATATTCACTCAAAGCATTTGGCTTTCAAATCCAAACCGAAGATTCTGATGTCACCCATTCCTCGTTTGTGGGGGCCAATATTGAGACAAAACGAACTTCTTCTTAAGCCAATAGAAATCTAGCCATGTTGTAAGGCCTAAGATGTATTTAGTGGATTTCATCTGTTCCTAAAAATATGTTTTTTACCGGGTGAATGTAGCACAGATAATAGCAATATGAGCCTCTTAAATAGCATTTATAGGTTCAATTTCTAGACACGTATAAGTGTATGAAAAAAACATTTTTTGAGAGAGAGTAACACCTTAAATGGCTCTCAAATTTCTCAAGAGATTAGTCTCATACTACCGACAATAGAAATACTTTGGGTAGCAAAAAAATTAAAAAAAAATTAATAATAAAACTTTTAATTTCTCAAATTTATCTTAATTATTGATTTAGTCTCTAAAGTTTATTTTTTTATCATTTTAATCTCTTAAATTGTTTTTCAGATTATCACGTTAGGTCTTTATGTTTGAAAATACAAGTAGACCTTTAAATTAATTTAATATATAAAATATATTGATAACTTAACATATATATGCAGTTAAATAAGAACAAATTAATCCTCAAATCAGTTTAATTTTCATAGTCCTTTATGTTGGGTTTTGATTGTTCATATATTTTTTAAAATTTCTGACTTTTTTTTTCCCTATCTAAATAATTACATTCTTTTTATTAATTTAAATGATTGTCATCAATTTTTTTATTATTCATGTTACCAAATTTTAATAGTTTTACCTCTTCTTTAAATAATAAGAGCCAAATAGATAATTACTAAAAATTTAAAGGACTAAATAGATAAAAAACTTAAATTTGAAGGATTAAATTGATAATTAAGATAAATTTAAAGAAGTAAAAGTTTTATTATTCCCAGGTTGCTTGATCTTTGTAATTAATCTTGTTAGGTGGCTTATTATCATGCACCTAGGGTATAGTATCCCCACTACATTATGGAATGAAATAACCTAGCTCATCAGGTCGCCGCCATTAATAAAATTACTTTACAACTCAAAGTTTATCTTAGCATGTTAAATGCTATATAGACTAGTACACGTACTAACTCGATGTACCCTGTTAGATAAACCAACACGAAATATTATTAATTATTAAATATTTATAACGTGACATGTCATTTAGATATTCGGTCTATTAAAAATAGTATAAGTAAAATAATTTTTTTTTATTTTTTTCAATAATATATCACATATTTTTTCTTTGCATGCAATCAACCTTACTTAATGAGATCATACCTGTTGTTCTTTAAATATTTTTCTTTCCACTTCTATCTGAATTTATTTATATGTTTAGACTATTTTTTAATTAAAAAAATACATGAACAATATGAGACTAATTTAAAAGTATGTAATAATCTCTCAACCAACCTCCACCTCAATTTTCTCCTGTAGCCAACTCTATCCTTTAAGGCTTCCAAGCCTAGAATATATATAGTATATCCAAAAATTGAATTAGCTTTAAAATTAAAAAGTTATAATGTTCTTAAAAAAATAAAATGTTAGAATGTTGCAAAATTAGGAATCTCTATTGCAAATCAGGTATTTATGTTTCAAATATAATTGTATACTATTTTGTATCATTTGCATCTATTTAAATATTGATATTTGCAAATCATTTTTCAAAAAATTTTGTTGAAGATCTAACGATCATTGTATTAATATTTTGGGACCTAATTTTTATTTTGCTTATAAAGGTTGTGAATATGAGAAATTTTAAAGGACCAAGATCTTTGGTTGGAATTAAAAATTTTCTGAGTTGATTTTTGATACTTATATCTTTCATTTTTTTTACTCAACTTTGATTTTTTTAATAGTCATTTTTTAATATTTTCAATACTAACCTTAGATCTTTTTCATATCCTTCTTTAATATTTTTCATACCTTAAAAAAAAAGTTGCCAAACCTACACTATAAAAAAAATGACTTTTGATGGTGACTTTTAGCAGCGAAAAAAAAAAAGTTGTTGTCAAAGGTTAACTTTTAGCTACAACAATTAAAAGTTACTACTATTGCTACTAAAAGTCTACTTCTAGTGGCAACATTTAATTATCGCCACCAAAGGTCCCTTTTCAGTGATGATATTTAATTGTTGCCGCTAAAAATCATTATCGCTGCCCAAAATATTTTCATAAAAATAATTAAAAAATTAAAAATAATTTATATAATTACTTTTAGCGGTGACAAATCGTCTCCGTTAAAAGTATTTTTTACAAAAAAGTAATTAAAAAATAGAAAATAATTTATGTAATTACTTTTAGTAGTAAAAAATCATCTCCACCAAAAGTATTTTCATAAAAAAATAATTCAAATTTTAAAATAATTTATATAATTACTTTTAGTAGTGACAAACCGTCACTACCAAAAGTATTTTCATAAAAAAATAATTAAAAATTTAAAATAATTTTTATAATTACTTTTAGTGGTGACAAACTTTTTCTGTCAAAAGCATTTTTATAAAAAATAATTAAAAAATTTAAAAATAATTTATGTAATTACTTTTTAGTAGTGACAAACTATTGCCTCCAAAAATATTTTCATAGAAAATAATTATAAAATTAAAAATAATTTATACGATTACTTTTAGTGGCAACAAACAGTCACATCAAAAGTATTTTCATAAAAAATAATTTATGTAATTTCTTTTCACGGTCACAGTTTGTCGCCGTCAAAAGTATTTTCATAAAAAATAATTAAAAAACTAAAAAATATTTTATAAATACATTTAGTGGCAAAATTTGTTTCCACTAAAGGTATTTATACATAGAATGAGAAATAAATAACATTGCAATGTTAAAGTTATACATAAACATTAGAATGTTAAAGTTATATAAATGTTATAAGATACAATTGATATTGCAGACTATTTGACACATTACGCACTTGATACTTGACTTAATATACAAATGGTATCTACTTCATTTGTTGAGCTTTACTTTTTACTACTATAAGATTATTTAAATAAGATGTTCCATATTTGATGGTTATTTAAAATAAGCAACAAATAAAATAGGTAGAGAATACTTGATAGTTTTTTGAATTATAGATAAATTTATCCATAAACTTATTAATGTTTGTTTATTTTAAATTGTAAAGTGATTGAGAAGTATTCTCTATTAACTTTAGATTGAATCTGTTAAATAGACTTTAATGAAAGTCTAAACTAATTTAGATCAAGTCA